TATATATATATATATATATATATATATATAAACATGTGTATTTTAAAATATGTAATAATAATAATTTTATTATTATTATTATTATTATCTCAAATCGATTTTTGTGGACATTACAATGCCACGACAAATTTAAAAATTTTCAATAAAATTTTACTTTAATGCATGATTCTTATAAGAGTTGTTATTTATGTTAGTAGAACTACCAAAAGTTGCTTTTTATGTGAAGCAACAATTTCTTATATAAGCAACTTTGATTGAGAGTTGTTTATATATGTAGCTTCACATATATATATTCCGATGAGAAAAATAAGTAAGAGACAAGTTCCAAATTTTATGAACTTATTAAGAATTTATCATTAGAGATATTCTTAATTAATTCTCTTATATTTGAATCCTATCTGTTTTTTTTCGAAATTTTATAAAATTGGCTAATTTAATTTAGAATTGATTCATGCCAAATCACATAACCAATGGTTACATTGGCTAGAATGTCCTAACCCATGGCTTCAAGGGGTTGAGCAACATTTTTTGGTCATTTCTAACTCTCTGAGGTCTAATGTGGAGTCGGCATAATTGTGTGGTGTGCTACTACATGATGTACATGGAATCTTAAGAATAAGTGTTTTAAAGGAAAGTCAGTTTCAAGGACAAAATTTGCTGAAAGACATCATGTTTTACTCTTGGGCCTTGTTATTATCAACATTGACTGATAAGTTTGAGTATTATTTCTCTCAATGGTATGCTAATCCGGGTTTGTACTTAGCTAGATTGAAGGTATAAATAAATAGTGAAGGAAAGATATATGACTAATAAAGGATAAGGTTAAGCAGGGAGTGAACAGATAATTTTGAATCATTAATAGTTATATAGTTTCCATATGTTATTTCTATATTCACTGCGGAACATTTGTGCTTTTAAATCAGAAATATGAAAATAGTTTATGTTCCGTATCCTTTTTTGTAAAAAGATTTTAGGTACCTCTTATACCTATTTATATTTATATATAATTTTCGTTTTAACTGTTAAAAAAAAAACATAACCAATTCAACAACTTATGAATCAAAAGCCCATGAGAATGAATTCAAACCAATTTAACAACCTAAATCGATTACATTATATATCAGAGATCACCAATTTTTTGATCGACCAAATTTTAAAATATTGCATAAACCACTTGTAATTTATAGTATGTCATGCGGTAAATTCCATACCTGATAAATGTCGCAAAATTTTTAAGTTATAGATAAATCTGTAGGACAATTTACAAATGACACTCCATTAATAAATTAAATTTAAAAATAAACATAGTGTTAAGTATATTCTTTGAAAATAAACTTATGTTAACATGGAGATATAGTCTGATTTCATTCTGATGTAATAATAGCAAAAATTAAACTTATTTTATTTAATAAAAATAAATATTTATGTTTGATAATGACAAATCATACATAGATATAGATATATACAGATATGTTGGACTGAAAGTTTTTGGACATAGATTATATATACAAATACTTCATTAATAAAAATCAAAATTAATATAATATATAAAGTAATAAATTAATTAATTACTTACCTGTTTATCTTTCTTTTTTTTTTTTTTCATTCTTCTATTTCTTTCTTCTCTATCAAACACATCATTACAGAACAATCATTATTTTTGTTAACATCATAATCATATTTGATTTTATTTTCATACCAAATATATATGCTTTAAGGAGAACCAGAACAACGAAAGACAGGCTATGGGAGATGAAAGCGCTGTGAAGTCCCTAATCAATAGAAAAACACATGTGATGGTGGGCTACGTAGGACATGTAGTCCAAGTTAATGTTGTTGGGCCAAATTGGCTAGGTTGACTTGTCTATTACACTATTTGCTTCCATGTGTATGAGTTATTTATGTCTTATTATGGTTTATATAGAAACTAGTTGAGTTTAAAGCTAAAAAAATGAGTTACACTTATAAGTTTTTTTTTATTAGAAAGTGTTTTTTTTATTTAACATAATTTAAACTAATATTCAAACATACATTTATGCTTTGTTAGGGAAAG